GAGGGGGGGTCCCCTCGAGGGGGCGCCGGCCGCCAGCCTCAGCTGAGTTGGTTGAGTCTCTAGCAAAACAAACACTCTCTCCCTCCCCCCACCACCCGGTCCCACCCCGACAGCGCCCCAATGCTGGCAGAGATGCCGGGGGCTGAATCCCCCATTCCCAAAACAAAGAAGGATATTAGTGGGAGGGGGCTGTTGGGGGGGCAGACTGGGGGAAGAGCTCCATGTGGGGGGGAGACCTGGGGGGGTGGTAGGTGGCTGCATGGGGTGTGGCTACAGAGCCTTTCCCTACATCTTTTCAAGCAGATTTGGATGGGAAGGGGCTGTGAGGGGGAGCATCCATGCGGCAGGAGCTTCATGTGTAGCGGGGCCTGGCCTGCATGTTTTGGGGCCTGGAGGGGGGTCGGTCTCCAGCCCAGGTCTGCGGAGTTCATCAGTGTCTAGGGCTCCACGAGGGCCCACGAGCTCCCAGGTCCTGGCTCCACGAGGGCCCACGAGCTCCCAGGTCCTGGCTCCACGAGGGCCCACGAGCTCCCACGTCCTGGCTCCACGAGGGCCCACAAGCTCCCAGGTCCTGGCTCCGGGAGTCGAGAGATTGCGCCGGAATCTCAGCTCTCGGGCAGAAACCACCAGGGACGTTTCTAGCCCTCGCGGTTGGCCCTGCCAAGAGCCTCAGCCCATCGCTCACAGAGATGCGACCCGAGACTGCCTGAGTCTGCAGAGAGCCTGAGCCCATTGCTCACAGACGGGGAGCTAATGGGCGGTGCTGCCTCTGTGGCCAAGTAGCAGACTGCCTGGGCTGGGGGCATGTGGCAGGATCAAGGCCCCGCTATGGTGCTGACCCCCCGTCCCCCCCAGGCTGGTAGCCAGTTCGGAGGGCGTAGCCGAGCGGCTGGAAGAGACCAACCAGCTGGCGGAGCAGGCAGCCCAGGCGCAAGAGGCCACCCTGCGATCCCAAGAGGAAATCCTCCGCCATGGGGAGCTGCTGAGACAGACCCTGCAGGACTCCTCCAGGGGTAACCCCACCCCTGGGAGCCAGGACGCCTGGGTTCTCTCCCCAGCTCTGGGAGGGGAGTGGGGGCTGGTGGTTAGAGCGGGGGGGGGCGTGGGAGGCGTACGGACGTCC